GGACGCTGCAGCCCGGCCCGGCGCCCGCTGGCGCGCGGTGGGAGTCAGGGGGGCGATCACCCAGCCCCTCCGAGTGCTGCTGGCGCGCCGAAGGGATGGGTATACGCCCTCCTTCTTGTCTCCCCGGACTTCGAGATTCCCAGGAACCCCCGGCGCACCCCGCTGAGTGGCCGGGCAGCGTCAGGGGCTGTGCCTTCCTTTCCTCCGCGTGCGCTCGCCCACCTGTTGAGAGGTGGGCTGCGGTGTAAGCGGGCTTTAAGCCCGAGGGATGTCCTGCGTCTGCGGCTCCCCGAAGGTTTATTTGAAGGCTGGGATTGTAACCTGCGAGCCACACAGATGAACTGTCGTTTAGCTCTACGGGAGGAACACGCCCCCCTTTTGAGGATGTTTTACGTATTCACTCTTAAGTTCATTGGTACAATTTAGAGATTTAGATAGACACAGCGCTCACATCCGTCACAGGGAACTTGAACCTGTACGCGCTGTGTCTTCGTTCCTCTTTTCCCCCATTCCCCTCCCTTCTCCTCAGTCCCCGTCCACTTTTTACTTGCAAAGCTTTGTTTCCACTGGCTCCTTCTTTTATCATTTTTCCCTCATCTCCCTTTCCTTTTTAATAATTTCTTCCTATTTCACAATATCTATTATGATTTGGTTCTTACTTACACTTCCAGTTTCCCACACCAAAGGAACGATGCAGTATTTACACATGTGTGTCCAATTTATTTCACCGAAAGAATATGACCTCAAGGTAGTGTACATCCATTTACCTAGGAAAGTCTCAAGTGTATCCTCCTTTATGGCTGAGTAGTACCCCACTGTATTAAAACTCCACATTTCTTTTTTTAATCTATTTCTTGGTTGATGGGCATTTGGGTTGTTTCCAAAATTTAGCTATTACAAACTGTGCTGTGATAAACATGGGTATGTATATATCACTGCGGTATGACATCTTTAATTCTTTTGGAAAGATACCAAAAAAGGGAATAGCTGGGCCAAATGGGACCTCTAGTTCAGTTTTGTGAGGAATCTCCACACTGATTTCCCCTCCTACCAGCAGTGAAGGATTCCTTTTCTCCACAGCCTTGCCAGCATTTGTTATGGGCTGATTGCTTGAGGGCAGCCATTATTTCTGGGGTGAGATGAATCTCAGTGTTTTAATTTGCGTCTTTTGAATGACTAATGATTTTGAACATTTTTTGTGCGTATTTCAACTACACAACATGAAATTGTGGGATACATGTAGTTAATATTATAACGAAGCAAATCAACACACCCCGCTTTACATTTATTTTTGTGGCAAAAGCACCAAGCCGCCAAAATTTACTTTTTAAATTTAAGATATTGGGGATTGAACCTAGGACCTTCACACTGACACAGTGAGCTACATCTTTCCTTCTTCTCCTCGCCTCCTCTCCCCTCCCTTCCCCCTCCCTCCCTTTTCCTCTGTTCCCCTCCCTTCTCCTCTCCTCTCCTCTCCTCTCCTCCCCTCCCTTCTCCTCTTCCTTCCTTCTCTTTTCTCCTTTCCCCCATTTGCCAGGTTGCCCAAGCCCCTGAGTGCTTGGATTGCAAGCACGTACCACCATGTCCAGCTAAAATCTACTTTTGATGCAGCAATTCCAAGTGCAGTGCAATTCTGTTGCTTAGGGTCCTCCTGCTGTACATTAACTCGCTAAACTCCTTCATCCTCCACGGCTACTGCTTTGTGCCTCTGACCGTTGTCTCCCCATTCCCCTCCTCATTTTCCATACCACTCTTTTATTCTCTTTCTATGTTCATTGGACTTAAAGAAAAGATTCTACACATAAGTGAGATGCAATGTTTTTTCTGTCTCTGGGTTATTTCACTTGATACAGAACTCTCTAGGTTCTTTCCTATTGTTGCCACGGGCAGAATTTCCTCTCTGAAGCATTAACATTATTTGATACACACATACAGGTGTACACAGAGTCCCCAGAGAAGCCCCTCTTTTGAAAGGGGCTACCAGATAAACTGGGTGTAAATATCACTATTTCTGCTGAGATTGCAGTCCTCTTTCTCATCTGTAGCCCATTGCCCTGGGACAGAGCTGCCTCCAGAATTATCCCTGCTAAGCCGAACCACATTTCATAGCTCCTGCAATTCTAGACAAGGCTTCCCATATATTCACCCATAAACACTGAAGCAATGTAACTAAAATAACTGTTTAATTGACTCTAATACCATTGCACCTGAGTTTTGGTGAGAATTTGGAATTAGTGCTAGAGGGCAGTGCTTCTTAATAATCTTTCCTGCAACTTTGACATCACCCTGGAGTTTGCTACAAATTTTCACTGCGTCAGAAGTGGTAGGAGTGGAGCCTAGGGCTTGTTGTGGTAACCAGCCTTCCATGATGCTGATACAGCTAAAGCTCGAGAATTGCTGATTTGGGGGAATAACTCCTTATCATGATAATACTTATATTTATGGAAGTTTTTCTCTGGGACAAGTATTATTAAAAGCATTTTGCAAATACAGACTCATGTCTACCTCACAACAGTACCAAGAAGCATAAAATGAAAGTATTCGTTACATCCCCATTTTACAGGCAAAGCACATAAAGGAAAGTCACTCACTCAGGGCAGGCAGTTTTTAAGTAATGAAGTCTAGGTTGATTCAAACTCAGGCAATCTGGCTGTAAAATTTGAATCTTTACCCTCAAGGCTGTGGCTGCCTCTCTTAGCTACACATTGGTAATGTGCCATGTCCAATGGCTAAACATTTGAGTGATATGTACCTACATTAGCAAGTCAGTTTCCAGGGTAAAACTGTACAACCAGAGACTCAGAGTTAGAAATATGACATGAAAATAAACTTACACCCACAGAGGTCAGAAGCTTCTTAAAGTTAAAAAGTCACACGTGATGTCCAAAGTTGGGTGCTTGCTTTCAAAAATGATGTGTTTGTGAGCTCTTGCCATCCACAGTCTGTCCTTCTTTAAAGATCCTTCTTAAGAAACCTCCTGGCTTTGTAAATTTTAGTCAGTTTCTAACCATGATCTTGACTTCCAGACCTCAACTCGGATAAACCACAGAAAAGTGACTGCAATGTGATACATGCCTTATTTTCCTTGGGCGGTTGTCCAGCATTATTTTCTCACTATCAATTTCAAAGAACACTCTTGTCAGGAATATTTACTTGTCTTAATAATTTTTATGGGAAGAATTCCTAAAATTCCAGAGGAATTTCTGTGAGAATTATTAGAAACCTGAAAGTCATGTTACCGTCACTTCTAGCTCAATTTGCCCTACTTACCAACATCAACAATTGCATTAATAAACATTATATATACTGAGGCCTTTATATGTGTTGTTTAATTCCAGGAGTATTTTGATAACATAGATGCTTAAATTATAACCATTTTTTAAAAGGGGAATAAGATTGCTGAGGATAAAAGATACTGAGTGACTCAGAGCCAGAACACAATACTGAATTAATTTTAAAGCTGTAAGGACTATGGTCTTAAATTCTGCATTTTCCAGTCTTCCACTGCTTCTGGTTGCACTCACACTACTATAAAATTTGAAGTATCCACAATGTACCAGTTCTTACTAGGTTCAGCATTCTCTTCACTAATCATACTTAAAATGTCATTTGTTTCACAGATTCTTATTGTTTACAAACCATTTTCACCTTTGAGTAGGACCTTACTTATTGTCTATAAGAAATGTATGAAGTTAAATAATAGTACTTGTTTCATAGAGGGAGAGACTGAGTTTGACTGACAGTCTGATTTCCCAAAGTCTCAGAGTTAGGCACAAGGGATTTAATCACAAGTCATAATGGTCAAATAGATATAGTGGTTGAGCGTAGGGAATAGACGTGTGGAGGATGACTCCACAAACTAACATTGTAGTATGTCACTGTGACTGCTATATGTTGCTCTTATAGCAGGTACTGTTTCCAAGACATCATTGATGGAGGTTTTTAGAATTCACCATTTCTTATACATGGATAAGATGAAATGCATCTAAGAGATGTGAGTACCTTTTGCTTTCTCTGAGGCAAACTGTCAGAAGCTGCCCAAAGGTAAATATCTTATGTGCAAAGAGGTGGTGGTACAATGTACTTAGGACTTCATGAGCATTTTCTAAGAGCAAAGATAACATAGGATGGAGTTTGAGCTCATGGAGAGGACTCAAGTGCACTGTTGTGAACCACCTAGAAGGAGAATTTAGAAGAGGAACAACTATCAGGTGGTTTTTTAGGTCAGCCATTAGGGAAGAGTGAAGGACTCCAAAACCAGAACTACAGGAGGAACATACAGTGTCCACGTAGGCCATCAGCCACGAAGCTTTCTACACCACTAAGGTATTCTGGGGCAGTGAATCTTACAGTAGGATACTTTTATTTTCCTGACATATATGGTAGGAATTTTGGATAGAGTAAGGTCCAGAGATGAACATCTTTGTCAGATAATGCATTTCAAAATTATTTCTTTAAAACCAACACTTTTTTTTTCTTCCACCTATTCTCTTTTTAGCTCAGTTTATGTCTTTGGCTTGATATTACATTTTATCAGAACTTTGCCCATTCTTTGCTGACATCAAAATGCAATTATTCTTCAAAACTAGTCTTCCTGATGGTAGGAAAATGTAACAAACTCCAACAATTTATGGAAGTTTTATAAGCTCATATAGCATATATTGTATATAAAAAGTGCTATATTTTCTGTTATGTTGCAGAATTAAGTGTAGACAGAATACATTAAAGAATTTTTTAAGAGTTGGGTATCTTGAGATATTTAGGGTTTCACATACATTATTGTTCATGAAAATATAGACATATTACTTTTATTCTTCATTGTTAAAATCACCAAATATAGTTGTAAAATATAGTAGACATTTCTGTGTTCAGATAAGCTC